CTTCCTTCCCTTTTTTCTTTTGTTCTCTTCTTCCTTCTCTCCTTCTCTACTTCTTTCCTTTCATCTTTTCCTCTCTCTCTCTCTCTCTCTCTCTTCCTTCCTTCCTTCCTTTCTCCTCTTCTTTCCCTCCCTCTTCCCTTTTTTCTGTATCATCATCTAGCTTTTGAGGGTTTTAAGTCCTTTCTGCGGTTTTTTTTGGGGGGGGGGGTATGAGTGATGGCCACTCATTGGCCTGTTAGGGGTATAGTGTCCAAATTTGGTGTCAGTTCGTCCAGTGGTTTTTGAGTTATGTTGATCCCACAAACGAACATTATATTTTTGTTTGTTTGTTTGTTTGTTTGTTTGTTTGTTTGTTTGTTTGTTTTGATTGATTGATTGATTGATTGATTGATAGATAGATAGATAGATAGATAGACAGACAGACAGACAGAGAGAGATAGATAGATAGATAGATAGATAGATAGATAGATAGATAGATAGATAGACAGATAATACTGTTTATTGCCAATAAGCAAATGGATACCCAAGAACTTTGCACGCATGTTTGGTTGTACCATATTGGACTTCCTTAATATGTGATCAATTTGGTTTAGTATATGCATATGTGGAGAGAGATTGTCAGGAAGGGCTAATTGAGTAATTTCATATTAGGATACTATCAAGCTTACTACTTCATCATTTTATATTGTAGTTAGTATATTAATTGCTGTATTAGACTTTCCTGTATGTTCTTCTGCCTCCCTCTAGAGGGGCATGTAGGTATTTTAGGCATATCCACATTCTGTACATTCTTCATGTTTGGATAGGTTAGAAAAGAAACAATTTCAGAAAGATCTTGGCCCCTGATGGCATGAAAAATATATAAACTCTAAAGGGGTTTGTTACATGAGTACAGAAGTGCTTTATCTGAGGGTTAGTTTAGAGTCAGACTAACACAGTGAGTAGTTTTTTCTGCTGAGAAAAATCTGAGGTGATATAAGTGCACAGGGACAGGGTCTGCAACATCTCAGCATTGTGCGAGTTCAGCCTCAGTCATTTCATTGTCAAAGATTAACGTATTACGCCTCGCATATCTTATGTTTGGGAAATGATCAAAGCCAGTCAGTGTTTTCCCGTTTCTTTGTTAATCTAAGAGCCTGTGATGCCCTGCCCTAAAACTGAGATACCTTTGTGATTAGTGCTACTATAAACCTGATGTATTAAATAACCTTACCAGTGTACGGTTGTGAGATTATATTTCTCTTGGCTGTGCCTTTGTTTTCTGTTGTCATATTTCTAATACATTACTCCATGCCGGGAAAGATAAACATTCACCATTCTTCATTCCATGATCACAGGATTGTACTGCTTTTAGCTATACGTGAACATGAATTTAATATATAATTTCAGGAAATAGTGATCAGATGATAATACAGTATGCGTCTAGTCCTTCTCCATATTTCCCTTCCCTTCCTCCCCCTTTGTATTTTTGTTCCTTTTTGTAATTTCACTTTAAAAATTCAACAACATATTCTCTCTATATATACTTGTTGAAGGATTGAGGTCTTCTGTAGGGGTCATATCCCACCACTGGAGGAAATACAGCATGGGAGAAGAAGGGAGAGAATAAATGGTTTATAAATTATGGTGACCATAAAGTAAACCTGTTATAGAGTTTGCTTGGCAAAATCTGATAAGGTATAAATAAATACATGCATATTTACATCCATGTTGCACATATACTTGTGCTCATGTTGTACATTTTTGTTAAAAGCATGTTTTCTAGTTGAGTGGCACCTTATTGTTGCCAATTTTGGAGAAATAGCTTTCTGCTATTTATATTCTGCACTTGGTAAAACTTTTCTTATCACAATAAACACACTGACTAGACTTCAGTTGTCATTCCCAACTAGCACTTAAGTAACAGGTGAATGCTCCATATATTCATGTATACGTCTATAAATTAAGTTGACTTAACCATGGGTCAATGTAAGTACTGTTGAATCATAGAATCCTAGAGATGGAAGAGACTTCATGGGCCATCCAGTCCAACCCTCTGCCAAAAAGGAGGAAAATCGCATTCAAAGCACCCTGACAGATGACCATCCAGTCTCTGTTTAAAAGCCTCCAAAGAAGGAGCCTTCACTACACTCTGGGGCAGTGAGTTTCACTGCTGAACAGATCTCACAGTCAGGAAGTTCTTCCTAATGTTCAGGTGGAATCTCCTTTCCTGTAGTTTGAAGCCATTGTTCCATGTCCTAGTCTCCAGGGCAGCAGAAAACAAGCTTTCTCCCTCCTCCCTATGACTTCCCCTCACATCTTTATACATTGTCTCCTCTTAGCCTTCTCTTTTGAAGGTTAAACATGCCAAGCTCTTTAAATTGCTCCTCGTGGGGCTTGTTCTCCAGACCCTTGACCATTTTAGTCAACCTCTTCTCGATACATTCCAGCTTGTCAACATCTCCCTTCAATTGTGGTGCCCAGAATTGGACACAGTATTCCATGTTTGGTCTGACCAAGGTGGAATAGAGTAGCATGACTTCCCTGGATCGACACAGTAGGCTCCTATTTATGCACGTCAATGTACCTTAACTCCTATCACAAAAGGAAACATCCCCTTTAAGTAGAGTGACAAAAAGCCCATTTTGACAGCCTGGGCAGGAAAACGGTCGTGGCCCCCTGAGATGGCATTGGTGTGTTCCCTTCTTTACAGAATGATTCTTGACTTATTTATGAATTATATCAAAATCTACTATTTTGGCCCCCCAACCTGCCCTTGATGTATACAGGAGGTTGACTTATGCACAAGTATATACAGTAAATTGTTATGTTGGTTCAATTGATTGGAGCCACAATTGTTATCCTAAAAACTTGGTTCTTCTGATGTGCTTTTGGAGAGTGACCACATATTTCTTTCCTGTTGTCTTCGTACACAAGTTGTCCTCATATTGTCCTTCTCCTTACCTTTCTTAAGGCCTGACTCCACTGTCCTGTTCCCTACGAGCTCCTCCTTTACAAATACATCCTTTTCATTGTTATCTCACCCAGAGTTTTATGATTTTATGTGTACATTTGGCCCACCCATTGTGTTTGTTTTTGTATTTTGCACTGTTCTGTTTTGTGCTTATGTTTCACTTATTTTATTGCCTTATTTTATTGTGTTATTATTTTTGCTGTTTTGTATTTATTTTACTGTAATTGTATTATCAGGCATGGCCTCATGTAAGCCACTCCGAGTCAGTCCCTTTTGGGGAGATGGTGGCGGGGTATAAATAAAGATTATTATTATTATTCTGAAATTGTACTTAAGCTGAATAATTAATTTCAAGTTTTTCTTTCCTGACCTGCCTAACTGCCTTTCACTCATTGCTTTATCCTCTTTTTGTATCTTGCTTGTTAGCAAGAAGGAATGCTGCAAACGTAAGAACACTGGAAACCGCCTTATACCAAGTGAGGCTGTCTGTCTGTTTCGCCTCATTGTGTCTAAGTGTGTTCTCTAGCATTTCAGGCAGAAAAGGTATCAACTAGTAACCTAATTCCACTGGAGGTGACAACAACCAGATCTGGAATCTTTTGATTTCAAGGAGGTTGAAATCAATATTAAGGGTAGCCAGAATACTTTGGTAACTCATCTTGCTTCTAACTACAGGAGGACAGTTCATAGTAGCTTGTGGATTCATGTTTTGTCACATGTTTTTGGAATATCTCTCCGTGGCATCTCCAAATCCTAAACTAAAATAAAAAAAGAGGTGGGATTGAGTTTTCTGATTGAAAGTCCTAAAAACGAAGAGACATAGTTCTAGCTTACTCAAAAACCATTTTTTCCTTTTAAAAAGAACCATTCTCCCATGCCGACCAAAATGCAGTCAATTGATTAGAAATAGAACCTCGCGGCAGGGATTCTCCATAGTTGAGCGGTTGGTGGGCATTGTTTCCCTGGGCAGTTCAGGCTGTTCCAGCCATGGCATCACAAGCTCCCAGAAGAAGATTTGTGATGCTGAGGTCTGCATTGCCGGAGCCACACCAGGGAGCCATTTTGTACAAGAAACATGCCATGCGCAGCTGTTCTATTGTCAGTGTATCATTATAATGTAATCACACAAGCACAACAACAAATGAACCTAATTCTGCAATTCTGTTTTGTTTTAGAATATTATTGCACATTTTAAGTCTGTTTGGAGGGAAGAGAGATTTGACTATATGTCTTGCACAATGATATTGAAACAAGCTTTTTCCTTCAAAGCAGTAAAGCAGCCTTTTCAGTACTATACTAGCTGTACCTGCCACGCGTTACTGTGGCCAACCTTCCCTCCCTCTTTCTCTCCTTCTTTCCCTCCTTCCTTTGCGCCTTCCTTCCTTCCCTCCCTTTTCTTCTTTCCTTCTCTTCTTCCTTCCTTCCCTCCCTCCCTCTTTCCTTTCTTCCCTTTTTTGCTTTCCTTCTCTCCTTCCTTCTTTACCTCTTTCCTTTCTTCCTCCCTTTTTCTTTTCCTTCCTCTTTCTCTCCTTTCTTCCTTCACTTTTTGCTTCCATCCTTCCTTCTCTCTTTCTTCCCTCTTTTTCTTTCCTTCTCTAACTCTTTTCTTCCTTCTTCCCTTTTCTTTTCCTTCTTCTTTCTCTCCTTTCTTCCTTCTCTACCTCTTTCCTTCCTTCCTTTGCTCTTTGCTTCCATGCTTCCTTCTCTCTTTCCTTCTTTCTCTCCCCCCCTCCTTTTCCTTTCTTTCTCCCCTTCCTTCCTCTTCCTTCCCTTTTTTTCTGTATCGTCATTTAGCTTTTTGGGGGTTTTAAGTCCTTCCACTGTTTTGGGGGATTTTTTTGTGAGTGATGGTCACTCGTTGGTCTGTTAGGGGTATAGTGTCCAAATTTCATGTCAATTCATCCAATCCTTTTTGAGTTATGTTAATCCCACAAATAAACATTACAATTTTATTTATATAGATAATAAAGAGTTACAGTTTGTAAGTTATAATTCTTATAGTTTGACATCTTGTTTTCTTTTTCTTTCTTTTCTTTTCTCTTCTTAGGATCCCAGAAGCAAGCACAAGTTCAAAATCCACACATATGGAAGCCCAACGTTTTGTGACCATTGTGGGTCACTGCTTTACGGACTTCTTCACCAAGGGATGAAATGTGACAGTAAGCAAATCTTTTCCTGTTAATAGATTTTTAGAAATCTTTTTGATGAAAACATTAACTATCAACTGACCTCTTAAGAGGATCATATTGTGTTCGTTAGTGACTGCTAATTCAAAATTAATATTTAAACACATTTGCCAAAATAGTTTAAATGAGTGGAAGCTCTCCATTTTGGATTTTGCTATAGCAGTACATTAATGCAAATTTACTGGAAGAGACAAGCTAACTACAATTAGCAGCTGATTTGGACTATAAAACCCAAGCAGTTTTTAAAAGCTAAGACTATTAAATGTGATTTGTGGTTTCACAATTGTGTTTTATATTATCTGCCCAGCCATTGTACTATCTTCATTATCTTTCAGCTTGATGTGACTTGATTGATTATAAACCACAAGATAGTTTGTTTTCTGAATGGAATAGGAACAACAGCATGACTGATGAATCATAGCAGTTCCCAGCTCATGGTCATATCCTCATTGTAGAAAGGGAGACTACAATCTTCCCAGAATTGCATTCATTTTGAAGGGTTGTACTCCTCTTACATGGCCTTCTAGGCTCAATCACTCTTAACATCAAGCTAAGAAATTAATAACAATGGCATGCTTTGATCTGTTGTAGTTGAGAGATCCAAGATTGTAGAAATGACCAAGGAAAGCTGGGCTCAAACTCTCTCTGTCTTTTCAAACACCTAGTGTTGTCAAAGTCCTTAGGAAGTCATTCCCCAAATCAAGGGTGGGCAACTTGTGTCTCTCCAGATGTTGCTTGCCATCAGCTCCCATCAGTCTTTGCCAGTATAAATAATGGTGATGGCATGATAGAAGTAGTCCTCCAGTAACAAAAGAAAGCTGTTTACAGAAAGAATGCAGCAGAAGCTGTGCTCTCACAAGAGGAAAGAAAGCTGTGTTTGTATCTGTCATCCCAAAGATGTGAGCAGAGGAAAATTTCCCCTTTGCTATGCAACAGTATTGTTGAACTGGATATGCTCATTCTCGGGGCCCTTGCATACCTAAGAGAGGAAAGTACTGAAATGCCATGTGCAGATCCAGCATTTCAAATTGTGAGCAACTATCGAATTTTATAATTTGGGTTTCCTAAAAACAGATTCAAGCCCAAACAATGTTTTATTATAACCAAAGGGCCATGTTTAACCTACAGAAGCGATATAGTGGAGCTAGTAGCACAAGTCACTGCAGCTCTTGCTAAACCTGTTGTTCAGAAGCAGCTTATAACTGCAGAAGAAGCTGGAGAATCGTAGTAGTACCCTTCACCAGTCTTTGTCCTAAATCAGCAGTGGGAACCATGCATGTTTCCAGAAGTTTTGGACTATAGCACATAACATTCTTCACCATTAGTGGTGAGCTGCTGGAAGCCACACTTCAGCAACATTGGGAGGACTATACACTTCCCATTCCTGAGTTACAAGAAAAGTAGTGGGATCCGTCTAGGCCATGTTACAGTATATGATTTTGTAAGTCTTGACAAGAATCATCTCTTGCTTATATGTGTGTGTTGAGGAAGAACCACTCCCTGATTAGGATGTATATCAGGTGAGGTTTTCTCGATGCAGGTAGTGGGTGAAATGAAGTAATTAGAGATGGAACTATGCTACAAGGTTTGCTGGAAAGAAGCAGATTAATGCATTATTTTGTAAGTGTTTTTTTCCTTCTGCAATGGACAATGTGGACAATGTGTTTTCAAGGCTACTGTATTTTTTCTTTATAAAATACATGTGCTGACTACTCAAGAGTAAAGACATTTTTATTTTATACTCTGTGTACTTCAACTTGGGGTCTGAAGCTGGGAAGACTACTGTGTATTTTCAATATAAACTAACGAACCGCAACAAGCCAGACATGGGCAACCGCAGGCCTGGGGGACAGATGTGGCCCTTTGGGCTCCTTTCTCGGGCCCTCCTCTTCCTCACCATCCTATCTTTTCTTCCTTCTCTCTTTCCTTCCCTTCCTCCCTTAACTCCCCGTTTCCCCCTCCATTCATTCCCTTCCATCCTTCACTTCCTCCATTTCTGTCTTCCTTCCTTCTCTTTTTTTCTTTCCTCCTTTTCTCCTGGGAGATGTTTAGCTGGGAGAAGAGAACATGAGAACCACGTTTCAAGCTTCAAAAGGGTGTCCCATTGAGGAGGAGGAGGAGGAGGAGGAAGGGGAAAACTGACTTTCTGCTGCTCCGGAGACCAGGGCACAAGAAGGAAGCAATGGGTTCAAATGGCAGGGAAAGAGATTTCCTTTACTTTCTGCCTCCGAAAGAGAAGAGGAAGGGGAGGAAAGGGCAGGGAGGGGGCTTGGCTAGAACCCAATCCCTCCCAGCCCACTCACCACACTCCAGCCTGCCATTTGGTCCCCAATTTAGAAAGTTTGCCCATGCCTGGTCTAGGCTTTCCACATCTGACCCCATTACATCTCTTGATATTTCAAAGGTTTGACTGATAATCCCAACAGGAGCAAATGCAGTAAACCAATAGTATATATTTAAGGATTGATTTTTCATTCAATAATTGATTTAATAGGTCAGCTCTTCCTGGGATAGAGATATAGAGAGGTCAGATATGGAAGACCTAGACTGCATAAATTATATATTTGTTTTGTTTATTGGAATAGTTTTAATTTTGCTAAAACATTTGGTCTGTTTCATGACAATGAACAAATAGGCACCTTGTGTTTATCCTCATCATACAGCATTGTGGAAATATTCTCATTTTCTTCTCATTGAGCTACATCATTTCTGTTACTGGCCTCCTTCAGGGAGAATTTTAAAGACAAAGTGATAAGAACCCAAAGACTGTATTTTTATCTAGCAATTTCTTGTGTTTCCTAAATACGTCATGGAGATGTGTTAAGGAAGAGTGCTCTGCTGGAGACCTCATTTTCTCTTGTGAACCAGTTAATTTTCAGTATTTTCCTCAGAAACAATAGAAAGCTGTCACTAGCATTGCCCTTTAAGGCAAATACAACTAATTTTACTGTCTGTTATGGTGTTTAGGCTTTCATAATTGTACAACACAGCTCATGTTTCTGTTTCAAGATCTAGGCTCAGGCTAACCTGCTCTTTTTCTACAAGGCAAAACTCATTACAACAGATAAATTACATTAAAAAATGTAGATCTAGACAGTATACAACCTCTCCCTAGTAGCATTAAAAACATTGATTTCTCAAATATGACTAATTAGATTGTTTAGGAGCTACTTGGGGATTCTGTAGAAGCATCTTCTTGTTTATTATTTTATTTCATGTCAAAAAAATTGCATATATTCGTCCATTTGTGGAGGGAAGAAACACACCTCCAGGTTAAGATGTTGTAAAGCAATGCTTTTGGGTTGGAAAGATTAGCTGTTTACATGAAACATTGCCCAGGGGATGCCCAACTGTATTTACTCAGTCTTCGAGGAGGCTCTTTCTGTGTAACCTATATTCTTATTAAGACCAGTGCTAAAAGAAGTGAGAATCTTTAATCAAAATATCCCTGCTTATCAGTTTCATTTCTGTTTCTGATTGTTTTTCAGTGTGTGGACCATTTCTATCAGTTTAGGGCATTATGATTTTCCTGATCTATAGTACAGGCAATCCCTGAGTTACAAACATCTGACTTACAAATGACTGACAGAACAGGGGTGAGACAACAGGAAGTGAGAGAAATCTGCCCCTCGGAAGGGAAATTCATCCCTGAAATAGTTCTCATGGGGAAAAGGTGTATCCACTGAATCTTTGTCACCCATCCTTGTTTCCACAGCAAGTTAGATTTTCCAAACTCTAGTGATCATAGGGATAGAAAGTGTGGTGAAAACAGGGGCACAGAAGCAAAACAAACACCACAGAAGTGTCCACCCTTCCCTATGCTATCCCTATGCTATCCAAAGCTTATATCTATCTATTAGGCATGTGCAATCATGATTCTAAATGGTTCTAAAGTACTTACAAACCTAAAGTTCTGGTGGTGAAAACTAGGGGGCGCTGGTACTTTGCTTCTACAGTGTTGCTAAAGTTCTGGTGGTGAAACTTTCAGAACTCTAACACAACTTTCAAAATTTCATTATAAATGGCAGTTTCTAATAGGTTCTGTCATAAAAAAAAACACCAATAATGAAATAATAATGAAATTTTGAAAGTTTTGTTAGAATTCTGAAATTTTCACCACCAGAACTTTTGCAACAATGTAGAAGCAAAGCACCAGCGCCCCCTAGTTTTCACCACCGGAACTTTAGTTTTGTAAGTACTTTAGAACCATTTAGAAGCATGAATTGCACATGCCTACTATTTATCTATCTATCTATTTATCTATCTATCCACGAGCTACTTCATCACACTAGAGTGAATCCACTTTAAATCTGGTTTCTGCCTCCTGCAGAATTCTGAGGTTTGTAGTTTAGTGATGCTATTTAAAGCTCATCCCTAAACTACAAACCCCAGAATTCTGCAGGAGGCAGCAACCAGTGTGATGAAGTCCTTAGGATATTTTTTCTTGTATGAATTTCTCATATGGCTGGGTTTATCTCCACACTGTACCTTGTGAGTAGTTTCTGAAAAAGTACAAGGGAGGGCATTGGTATTCCTACTGAGCATGAAGTACCCTGATTTCTTCTAGCATGACATCCTTTACCTCTGTTCAATGAATCTTGATTAAAATTGGATAGGCCACCAGAACACAAGGTTAAATGATATATTCTTTGTATGAGTTAACTGCTCCTGTAGTCTTCAAGAAATTGAGTGTTTTGTTCTTTGACATCTTCGTGGTCAGTGTATTGCATTTCTCAGCTGTCTTTTTTAGAGTAGCAACATTTTTCTCTTCAAAGTGCAGAGTGTCCTGCCTGGATCAACATAACCCAGGATTTCATTTCAATCCAATTCCCTTGTTTTAATTACTAGACAGTAGAAACTGATATGCTGAAGGATTCATATGTAGCTGTTGAGTGCTTTCAGAGGCCTTGAGTCATATGGTTGAGGACCTTGGTACAGTGTGACTCTTTCACCCTCTTTGATATATTCCATGAGAGGAAAAGATTAAGAGATTCCTCCCCTGTTTCATCATACCCAGCTTTTTATTTAGAAGAGCTCTGTTCTTCTGATACTCTGTCTCTGGATGTTTGATTCTTATAAGAGAGGATAATGCCATAGTGGTTGTGATGAGAAAGGAGATTCACACAAGAAAACAAAACCTTGCTGCCTACCCGTAAAAAGCAGGCTTTTGCTTCTTCTCTTTCTTGGTCCCTGATATTGTTTTCTTGAATGTGCATTTCTCTTAATCATCTTCCATGGTTCCTTTGTCTCAGTCTCTTTCTTTGTCCCTATATTTCCTGTTGCAGTTCTCAGTGGCATCCCTCTTGGTGTTATGTTCTTTTCTTATCTCTCTTGTCCTTTGTAAAACCTCTGACAAGTTCTCCTTTGACTCAAGCACTGCCAAGTCATCCACAGATCTATCTCCAGTCTGAAGCCATCCATACCAACTGTCATTACCACATCTCACATGAGTAATATCTGTCAGAGTGAGCTTGGATGACTGGGGTTTGTCTTTTACAAATGACATACAATAACCAGCAAGTGTGCAGCTACTAAAATTACAACTTTCAGTGGAGGAGTAAAAAAAGAAAAGGAAACTATAGCTTCTCCGCTCATCTCCTCCCTGGCTATATTTCTTTGATTGTATTGTGTTCCAAAAGAAAGACATAAGTATATTTTTATGTCTTTATTCCTTATTTATATGCCTTGTGAATAGTCTATGATGGAACATTTTGGTTTGGGGCCAGCATGGATTATAACATCACAGGGTTCCCTGGCCACTTAATGGGAAAAATCATTGTTCACAAGGCAGTTCTTTGTCTTTGGTAGCTATGGTAAGCCCCTGCATTTGCAGTCTTTAGAACTGTAGTCATCAGTGTCACTTGGAAATCTAGAAACTGAAGTATTTCTTTTCTGATTTGCAGCCTGTGATATGAACGTCCACAAGCAATGTGTAATAAACGTCCCAAGTCTTTGTGGAATGGATCACACAGAAAAAAGGGGGAGGCTTTATTTGAAAGCTGAAGTGGATGGTGACAAGCTAGAGGTCACAGGTAAGAAAGCTGCTTAGAAACACTATACTTCATTTTCAGATCATTCTTGGCTATCTATGAAAGATATCTCAAATTAACTTCACCATTTAAATTCTGTATGCATTTGGACACCTTGTATATCTGTTCATTTAAGCAATGGTTCCCAACCAGTGGTCCACAAGAATGAAAATTTGGTCCGCGGACTTACCATTACTACACCGTTGCCTCGAAACCACTTGGCAACGAGACCGACTGGTCTCACGAAACCCTCTCATATTGCCAAGGCAATGTGGATGTCGGGAGGAGAGAGGCTGACTACCTACAAAAGATTACTACTATCACATCAGCTCTAGATTACTAAATATGGTTTTCAGTAGGTGAGCAGATGGTGCCTACTGGATCGCATATCTTCTGTATCAGAAACTAGAGCTGATGTGGTCTATCCAATGCAAATTTCTGAATCAGCACCTCAAATAACCAAACTGAATCTAAAGTTGCCCAAAAACTGATTCATAACCCTTTTGGTACTAATGTTGGAGAGTGGTCCATAGTCAAAGCAGTCCCTGGTCAAGTAGTCCCTGGTCACAAAAAGGTTGGGAACCACTGATTTAAAGTGAATATATTATTAGATTTCTGCATAAAATAAGGAATGGAATTTGGATATGGCTTTTGACCTGTTTTTAACTTTGTCTGTGTAACTTACCATTATTGGCATCCCTTCCCCCCAAACAAGTCTTGCCAAGAAAACCTCATGGTAGGTAATTTGAAATCAACTTGAAGGCATATAACAAAACAAGAACAATGGATTGATGAGCATAGAACACACAAATAACACTGTCTATAAGAAATTATATGAGATTAATTAGCAATTTAAGTATATTTGTAGATAGCCATAAGAAACGCTGATGACATATTTGTACATTTTTGTTTACAATTGTAATGGGGCAAAATGCTGAACACACAACCATTTTGTGGCTATCTACTTTCAAAAACAACTATTTCCTGTTGCTGCTCCATCTCTCAGTGAGCATTTGTCCTGAACCAAATGGTTTTCAAGACAGTGCATAACATATTTCCTTTAACTTATTTATGACATTTCTAGGCCATTGCTCAACCTGATTGCTCACAATGGCTGTAAATTATTAGCAGACGGAGGAACTGTGCCTTTTCCTACTTTATGTTCTTGCCAAGTTATGGTACATCTCCATTTGCTTTTTAAAATACTTACGATTATATTATTTTGTTATGACCACTCTGATCCCTATAAAATTTATGATTCATCAGGTAAGTACATGTTTTAATGTGAGTTTCAAAGCTGGCTGATAGTGGAGGTAATATTTGTTCCCAACTTCAGTTGTTATATGAGAAAGATGTATAATATGGTTTGCTTTTCTACACTTGAGATTCAGCTTTAGCCCGAGAATATAGAACAGGTGGGATTGGTTCAGAAATAACACTGAGCCACATGCCCTTCTTCTGGCATTGATCCCAGCTTTCCCAGCATTGGTTCCATTAATTAATTTATCGTGTCTCTTGCCATGTTTGTGCAATTAAAAATTGTCCAACAAGGCATCAAAAGTCAGAGCTGAATTCATCCAGAAGGAGCCCCCAGTGACAAAATGGGTTAACCCTTGTGCTGGCAGGACTGAAGACCGACAAGTCAGAGGTTTGAATCCGGGGAGAGTGAGGATGAGCTCCCTCTGTCAGCTCCAGCTTCCCATGCGGGGACATGAGAGAAGCCTCCCACAAGGATGGTAAAACTTCAGAAACGTCTGGGCATCCCCTGGGCAACGTCCTTGCAGACGGCCAATTCTCCCACACCAGAAGCTACTTGCAGTTTCTCAAGTTGCTCCTGACACACACCCACAAAATAAATCCAGAAGGAAGCAAGATTTGCTTGGCAAGGCACCAAGCTAGACAGGAAAGCTTTTACAGCACATGTGCATATATGTGCACCCTGTTCAGGAGAACCTAATGCCCTTTTGGGTGGGTAGTACCACTCGACACCATTTCACTGGTTGGAAGATGTACCAAGCTTCAATTCTGTCAGCTCACCAAATACAGTAGCTAAAGGAGCTCAACTGTAGACCTTAGCAGTTCCACAAGAAGTAACATTATTTCTCTTGGAGCCATACAGAAAGCACAAAGAGAAATAATAAATTCACCCAACCATTCTGTTAGTCAAACTCATTAAATCAGTGGGAATGGTATAATTATTCAGCAGCTGATTTAATGGGAGGGATAGCCAATACAGTTGAGATGAGGAATTGGATTGAGACCTAATTGTACAAGCTGTGTGAACGTCCATCAAGCCACATTGTTCTGAGTCTGGACCAAATTAGGAACATTACATTTAATAATGATGGTACAGTAGAATCCTCATACTTATGGAACCAATATATGCTATTTTATTTATCCGTGGTTTAAGCTACACCTTTGGGATCTCCATTGTTCATTCCATTGAAAACAATAGGGTGTATAGTATATAGCAGGGGTCCTCAAACTAAGGCCCAGGGGCCGGACACGGCCCTCCAACGTCATTTACCTGGTCCTCGCTCAGGGTAACAACCTAAGTCTGAAAGGACTTGAAAGCACACCACCACAACGACAACAATAACAATCCTATCTCATCAGCCAAAAGCAGACCCACACTTCCCATTGAAATACTAATAAGTTCATATTTGTTAAAATTGATCTTCATTTTAATTATTGTATTGTTTTTAAGTGGTTTTTTTGCGCTACAAATAAGATATGTGTAGTGTGCATAGGAATTCATTCATGTTTTTTTCAAATTATAATCCAGCCCTCCAACAGTGTGAGGGACTATGACCTGGCCCTCTGTTTACAAAGTTTGAGGCCCCCTGGTATATAGTTTTGTTTATCCAAACATAATCTGGGGATGTATCTCATACAGATGAGGGGGTCCTACTTTATTTTTAAAACTAGCTTGGGTACCCGACGGTGCCCGGGTTATTTGAAAAAGGCATTGTTTGTTTTGGAGTGTTAGGCAATTTCATTTAATTAATTACTAACACTATTTATTAGGAAAAAGCCAGAATGTGATTTTGTTTTTCTATGAATGCTCCCATTAGAAAATACATAACAATGTGGGTGAACTACAATTCCCAGAATCGTGGGTCAATCCTCCCCAAACCAGGCCTGTATGCACAGTGTGCTATGTTGGGTGTGTGTGGCAAGTTTGACCCAGATCTGTTGTTGGCTGGGTTCAGTGTTCTATGGATAACGGTGAACTACAAGTCCCATATGCCAAAGGCAGTCACCCCCAAATCCTGCTAGTATTTACAGTTGGCCTCAGTTCCCCAAACCCCATCCAATCTGTTCAGTTGCTGATCAATTTCTCTGTGTTTGCTGTGTGCCATTGGAAAGGGTAGGAAAAGGTTAAGGGAGTTGCAGTGGCGGGTCCATGCAAATTCCACACAAGGACCCTGGGATGCCTGCCTGTGGTGGAGGAAACACATCAAATCTAGGATGAAATTCTCCCCAAATGAAATCATTCCTTGGGTGGTGGACCATAGCATTTGGGGAGAACATTGGAAGTGTTTGGGCAACATGTTCATGGTGCTCGCTATAACCTGCAATGTCAGTGGAGGGAATGTCTTTGGAGACTTCTTAGTAGTTGGAACTGTACCCTGTTTGTGGAGGCGGGAGGCTGTCTGTGTAAGTGGACACCTCCGCCACATACACACATAGACATTTTGGGGGATGGACAGGACTCTTATCTCCACTTTTCTTTGCTTGAGTACTGAAGACAAGTGCCTAGACACCAGGATGGGTTATATGCCATTTTGAATGTTCCCCGTAGGTACCAGATCATAAGAGGTCAGTAGAATGTCAACAATATAATTATTTTTGGAAATCCTAATCTTGTGGCTTATCTTCCTGAAAGCTTTATGGCATCTATTCTTGAATTCTTACACAAATGTTAGACTTTGAGATAGCATTGTAAAGCTGTTACTTATTTTCATTGAGGGCTGTGGAACTGTAGTTTAATGTCAGGGTGAGCTAAAGCAGTTACAGCTAAAGCTTAGATATAAGAAAAGTTTACAATAAAAACACTTAAATATTTATAGTCCCATCACTCTTCCTTTCATCACGTGTCTCCAGACAACCAAACTGTGGAAAAATTATGAGATATTTGGGAAAACTTGTCAAATGTGTAAGGATCCTTTCACTGCAATGGCTAAATAAATTGACTTCAACTGTGGTGCATTTCAGCATATTAATAAACACAATTCCTTTAACAGCACTTGATAAATCCAGCCACTTAATATGTTTATAGAGGGCCATTCCCAACTTCTTATGAATTGTTTCTTATATTTTGCAATAAATGTTTTAATAGTTAAACAATGTGAAGTAGGATAATAATAATCAACAAGTTAGATCAGGGCTTTCCGGTCTGTGGATCAGGACATATTAGTATGTCGGCTGCAGTGTGTAGGTGTGTCGCACAAATGTAACAAGACACCTCTGAATCAGTATGAAATCAGCAATATCTTTAAAATATGAATGAAAGGTTTTCATGGGACATGTTATGTCCCCATGCATTCGATTCTTACAATTTATGTATGTGTCCGTATCTCTGATAAGGTGTTGGTTTAATCTCTGGTTTGCTTATAAAACTGAATTACTGTGTTGCAAAATGATGCATATCTCAAAAGTGTGTCCCCAGAGTTTGGAAAGCTCTGGGTTAGATGATACTGCAGCTTTCAGTTTACCTGAAAGAATATTGTTTTGCTACTTGCCTAACCAGGCCCTAAAATCATTAGCTGAGGACGTTCTTCTAATGGCCTTGACAAAATAGACAGGCGGGTGGCTATAAGAGAGGGGTTTCTTAGTGATGGCACCAAGGAGCTTCCGGTGGTGCAGTGGATGAAATCCTTGTGCCAGCAGGCCTACTGACCAACAGATCAGAGGTTTGAATCCGGGGAGAGTGCGGATGAGCTCCCTCTGTCAGCTCCAGCTCCCAGTGCGAGAACACGAGAGAAGCCTCCCACAAGGAT